TCAATATAAAAACTCACTTATTTCTCATTTTTTAAGAAATTTCTCAAATTTACTTTATTTTTATAATTTCATTAAGAAATAACCACTACCAACCAAACATAACTAAGGGAACACCGGGATTTTAGTCATGGGTACGAGATGGGGAAGAAATAACAAAACAATCCTTTTGATAAAAGAATTAACCAAGTAATTTCTTAATCCAAAGATCGTCTGAAAAGGAATAGGAAATACCTAAAAGATTTGCCCAAGTCCAGGTGGTAGCAAGCATTTCGATTCGATCCATCTTCCTCCCACTCCTCTTGTTGGTTGAAATCGGGTCCGGTTCCTCTTCATTTTGGTAAGATCAAATAAATTTTTGTAATATAGCCTATCTTCCAAATTTTATAGTTGGAGGAATTAATTTGGATGATGGTGGTGTCATCCTTCTTGTTCTTTATCTTTGCTAGATCAATCTCAAGGATCAGACCTTTAGATCTGATAACCAACTGTTAAGAATTTTATCTGAAATGATTTTTTTTTTGGAAGCTGAAACGTAAAATCCACTAATAAAAAATGATTTACAATATTAGAGGCTTATTCTCATTCTCTTCTAATAACTCTTAGTCTCTTTAAAAATATTGTTTTAGGGGTTATTTGGCACAGAAGTTAAAATGCAACAGTTATTAGTTACTTGATGGTGGATATAATAGGTAACAAAGTAGCGGTTAGTGAGTTGCACGTATTAATTTTCATAACTATTTGATTGTATAATAGTTTGTGTTTAATGTTTAAAGTAAAAAAAAAAAAAGAGAGGAAGCTCTTTTTAAATGATTATTTTTATTTTTTTGCTATTTTTATGCAATTAAAAAAAAGTCCTTTTGTTATTTTTTATTGAGAAACTAATTTTTTATTTTTAAATATAAAATAAAAATTACAAACATCTTTATTAATTAAAGGAATAATGCCTATCCACCTTATCTCTTAAAAATTAAAAGGAAAATTATCGCAAAATCATGTCATTTCAATAAACTCTTATTGAAAAGTACTAATATCCTATTTTTAAGGGATGAATTAGAGTGTTTTTGGTTCTTTCTCATTGTGTTTTATTGAAATAATGTAATTTTAGGATAATTTCCATTTAATCTTTAAGAGATAAGACGGATATATACTATTTTTATTAATTAATTTGAAATTATGACTTACTAAATTTTTATTAAATAAGAAAATTAGATACAACACATTAAATAATAAAAAGAAAAAGAAATGAACAATCTATTTATATCTATATCTATATATAATATAAAATGCCACCCTAAGCGTTAATCTAAATCTATCTATCTATCTATATAAAATGCTACCCTATGTATTAATAGGGTATGGATTTAACAATTGCATTAATATTTAATGGATACTTGTTGAATATGAAAAGTTATATAAGCATGTTAAAGCTTAATTGGGTTTTTACATGAAGGAGAAAACAAAAAAGGCATGCATCTCCTTCTCTGTTTTTGATTTAATATACATGTAATGAAAAATAATAATGAAAATGCATTTCTCTCTCTCTCTCTCTCTCTCTCTCTCTCTCTCTCTCTTTTTAAGCAATTGTTAAATGCATATCCTAATTAAGGCATAGGGTAGCATTATATAGATATATATATATATAAAGTTTTATAGGCATGTTAAAATTTAATCGAGTTTTTACATGAAGAAGAAAACAAAAAGGTTTGCATCTCATTCTCTTTTTTTATTTAATATACATGTAACAGAAAATAAAATAAAAATGCGTATTACTCCCTTTTAATGCATCTCTTTTCTTTTTTTAAGCTATTGTTAAATGCATACCCTAATTAAGGCATATGGTAGCATTATATATATAGATATATGTAGATTAAATATTCATTTTATTTTAATGATATAGCATAATAAACATAGGGTTGTAGCACTTGGGCCTTCGGGCCCAGTGACGTCAGGCCACGTATGAGTGCATTCCCCCACCCCCAAGGCAACAGTTCGAATCCAACCCTTGCGAATTTGTTCAAAAAAAAAAAAAAAAAAAGATGCTTAAAAAAAAAAAAAAAACATAGGATTGTAATGCATAGCATAATAAACTATTTGTGTGGTTACTAGTTTTTCTAGCCTTTTTGTTTTCTTCTTCATGTATAATTCATTTTATAAGAAAAAGATATGCTTTATTCTTCTTCTCTCCTAAAATATTCTCTTCATATCATTAATTTTGCTTCACAAATTTTTGTATTGCCATAATTCCATCTCTTAAAATTTGCTTCTAACTATTTATAATCCACCGATTTATCCTCAAATTAACAATGAGGTAAATACTTTTTCCTTATTTTTCGTTTTATTAATAATAAAATTTTTATTTTATTTTCTTTTTTACTATAAAATTTTTTAATTGTTAATATAATAATCAAATAATTTTTATCTCATACTTTAATTTTTTTTTGCATATTTATATATGTATATATATATCTCTATTATATAAAACACTACCCTCAAAAATTAAATAGGACCTTTTTTTTTTATGAGAAGAAGAAACTTTGGTAAACAATAAGAAAATATTACTTTTACAATAAAATGTAATAAATGTATTTATTATTTTAGCTTTTCATTTTTTTATCAATGAGGTAAATTTGTTCTCTTTATTATGATTATTTTTTGTATTATATCTTTTCTTACCCAAGAAAATGGGTAAATAAGGACATCAATTTTATGAAAAAGATGTTAATTTAGCTAATTTCTAAATAAGAATATAAATTTTTAACTTTAGCTATTTAAGATATCAACTTTTAACTTTTTTTTATGCAATTGTTAAATGCATACCTTAATTAAGGCAAAGGGTAGCATTATATATATATATATATATGAAAAGTTTTATAGGCATGTTAAAGTTTGATTGGGTTTTTACATGAAGGAGAAAACAAAAAGGTGCACATCTCCTTCTCTTTTTTTATTTAATATACAAGTAATGAAAAATAAAATGAAAGTGCATATTACTCCCTTTTAATGCATCTCTTTCTTTTTTTTTAAATTTTTTTAAGCAATTGTTAAATAATGCATACCCTAATTAAGGCATAGGGTAGCATCTTATATATATAGATATAGATAGATTAAAATGGCACTGATCTATAGATATAGATAGATTGAAATGCTACCCTATGCATTAATTAGGGTATGCATTTAACCATTTATGAATTACATAATGAATCGCTTGAAAATAAAAAAACGCATTGGATGAATTTCATATTAATGCATAAATAGGAAGGTTTCATTTTACGTTATATTTAAGTTAATTTCCAAACTCGATAGTTACCTCTCTTTTTTGACCTTTATAGTTAGATTCTTTTAGATGACATCTTTTTTTCACAATCTTTCTCTATGCCTTTTTATCTTCCTACCCATTTATATATAAACCCTAATTTGCTTTTCTTCGATATGGTAATCTTTTCTTTATCTCTACAATTTCTTTTTGCTAACATGGTGAATTCCAAATATTTTCTTTCTTTTTGTTCCCTTGATTCATATTGTAACTAAATATAATATTATGTTTTTATTTTCATGTGCCTTTTTTTTTTAGTCCAAAATATATATATTGTTGTATGAACTATTTTCCCTATTAGTCCTATTAATTGTTGTTTTTTTGAAAGAATTTCATAACTTAATATACATGAAATTTATGCAATCATTTCTTTTTTATATTATTAATGGTTTGAAACTTCTTTCTTTTTTTTTTTTTTTGTATGTGTGGTGTGTTGAGTGAGAACTCTACTCAAGGGATGAGAGTTAATCAAACCGATAATAGTGTTGATTCATATATACTAAACTGAACAAGAAATGTATGAATTGGATAGAGACCAAGTCATGTCAAGATATTTTTTTTTATT